TACACAAAAAAAAAGAAAAAAAAAAAAAAAGAGGGGGGGGGGGGGGGGATATTTGATGTGACAATGCTGCAGGGAAGGAACACTTAAAGACCTTCTCTCCTTGCGCACTTGTCTATTCCTTTAAATTACAGCTTCCTTATTTGGAAGAGCCTTCGGAGGGAATCAAATGCATGAAGTACTGTCCCCGTTAGGCTGTTTGAAGAAGAAAGAGACTGGATTTATACCCTACCCTTCACTGCCCGAAGGAGTCTTGGAGTGGCTTACAATCTCCATTCCCTTCCCCTCCCCACAACAGACAACCCACAAGGTAGGTGGGAGCTAAGAGAGCTCTTTCAAGGACTGCTCATGAGAGAACAGCTCTGAGAGAGAATGTGTGACTGACCCAAGGTCACACCAGCAGCTGCATGCTGAGAAGTGGGGAATCAAACCCGGTTCTCCCAGATTAGAGTCCACGCTCCTGACCCCTACACCAAACTGGCTCTTGAGATCAAGAGAGTTGTGGCTAGTGAAATGGGTCAGAACCAGGCTAGGCTGACCGGTGGTTGGCTTCAGTATCAGGCGGCTTCCAATGTTCTCGGGGTGTGAGTGATCCTACAGACTTCTCACCCTGCCTGGATGGCCCAGGGGAGCCAGATCTCATCAGATCTCGGAGGCTACGCAGGGTCAACCCTGGTTTGTGCTTGGAGAGGGAACCACTGAGGAAGTCCAAAAGTTGCTACACGTGGCGAACCAACCCTGAACCTTTCTTGCCTTGAAAACCCTACGGGGTGACCATAAGTTGCTTGTTGTTCCCTCTAAGCTGTGGGGTCCTGTGAGCCAAAATTCTACTTTGTGAGCGACTGGACTTAAAGTTCTGAGCGAGCGATTTGGCTGCTGCATCAATCAGTTTGCTCTGGAGCCATCCCTCCTGAGCTAAGACAAAAATGTGTGAGCTGGAGGCTAAAAAACTGTGAACTCGCTCACACTAACTCAGCTTAGAGGGAACACTGCTTGTGACCTGATGGCACTTTTCACCACTGCAGCCTACTTGCTGGTGCGGCTTCGTGCTGCAACTCACCCGACTTGATTTGCAGCCAGACAGTGACGCAGGCATGTTCGCCGTAACCACACCACTCGGTAGTGCCGGTACAGCTGTCCCCGATCGCCTTGCAAGTGTCACACTTCAAAGAAGCGCCTGGGAAGGGAATATAAAGAACAACTGCAAGTAGTACGTGGCATAAAACTCTGAGCGTCATCTGCAGGGAGGGGGAGGACAGAATCTAGGCTTGCCACGTCCCCCCGGGGGGCGGGGAAACCCCCACCCCAGAGGCCCATTCCCCGCTATCGCCGGATCGGGCCGCGGGGGGAACTCCACCCCAATGTGCACGTCACCAGGAAGGGCCGCAACCATGCCAGGCACACTGGGGGCTGGGCCACGGTCATCCGAGGGAAAACTCTATGCTGTTCCCTCGGATGGCCGTGCCCCCCCCCCCAGCGTGCCCGGTATGGTCGCGTCACTTCCTGGTGATGTGGATGCGGTGTGCGCGCGCTTCGCACACACGCACGCGCTCCGGGATCGACCTGGGAGTCCCCACTTCAAGATAAAGTAGGACTTGGCAACCCTAACGGAATCCCACACAGCTGCGTCATGGGGTGCCCTCTTCGGTGGCTTATCTCTTCCCCATCTCAGGGACCTTGTCCAGCTCCGCGGTTTCCCATACTAGAAAAACATAAATAAATTTGCTTTGGAAGCAGGCCCTGCAAAGGCCGCAACGGCGGACTCTTTATTTCACCTTGCCCAATTCATGCTGCTCTTCCTAGCTGCTGTTTTGTGGAATCTATTCCAATTGGGCTATTTGTCAGAAAGGAGATGAGACCAGAACCAATGGGAATGAATAAAGAACAGGGAAAAGAAGGATCTGATGAATAAGACAATTACAGAATAGAATGAAAAGCATAAGCATATCATGGCCCCGGTCACACGGGCCGGATATCGTGGGGGGGGGCGTGGCTGTTTGCCCCGGAGCGAACTACCGTGTGGCAGCCGGATCAAATGTCCCGCCCAATGTCCCGTGGTTGGGGGGAGGTGCCAATCATACCTCACTCCTGCGGCATGACAAAGAAGCGCCATCACGGGGGTTGTGTTGTTTTTTTAATCCCAAGTGTTTGCATGCGCCGTTGGGTGCTTGTGCGCACCCATGGAGACTTGACACAAAAAAAAACTTTTCACGACAGGACATGGGCGGGCGCTGGATGCCATAAGCTAACACCGGAAGCGTGATCTGATGCCCGCCCTTGCCTCGCGGTTTCCGGAAACTAGTACCTCGGAGGTACTAGTTTTTTACAGCGCATCTTCGGCGGGAAGCCTCGAGTGAGCCACGGGAGCTTTACGCTTCCCCGATGTGGCAGTGAGATCGCGCCTGGAAAATCCGCCTATCTTCCGTCTCTCTAGCATGCCTAATGCTCCGTGTGAACAGGCCCATGTTTAGGGCACCCTTCGGCTCTGGGTACCCCCTCCCTGCATCCATCCCTCCAGAGAGCAACTTGGCCAACATCCAGGGCTTAGTTTGACGTGGGGTTCTCCAAGGCAAAGCCCAGAATTGGCTTCCACTGACTTGGCCTGGACACGTGAACGGAACAGAAAATCAGGGACATTCCTTCTTGCCTCCAATGGGTTGATTAGATGGGGGTTAACCCCTTCTAATTCTACACCTTCCCTTGGACCAAGTAACTTTTTTTGGCTTGGAGAAGCTGCTCTGGAACCAACTGATTCAGCCGTTCCTTACCTGTAGCCAGAAGCACAGAGAAAAGGATCAATCCCAGGAGAGTCCGCATTGCGATGGGAAACCGTGAGGCAAACTCCTGAGCAAATAGCTCTCGACTCTCTCTCTCTCTCTCTTGGTCTCTCTCTCTCTCTCTCTCTCTCCCCCTTTGATGCCTTTTGATGTTTACTGGAACACGGACCTCTGTACCAGAAGAAAAACATGATTATTCAGAAGCTGTTGACCCGAGTTAGCACTGCCAAAGAAGTCCACCACTGCTATACAGAGGCAGGCAACGGCCAACCACTGCTGTTTGTCTCTTGGCTTGAAAACCTCATGGTCTCTCAGCCCCACCTACCTCGCGCGGGGTATGTTGTGGGGAAGGGAAAGGAAACTGTAAGCCACTCTGAGACTCCTTCAGGTAGTGAAGGGCAGGATATAAATCCAAGCTCCTCCTCCTCCTCGAATGGGTTGTGACTAGATGTCTATCCCCTCTCCCGTGGGTGCTTTCACACACACTAAATAACTTACTTTCAATCCACTTTCAGTGCACTTTGCAACGGGATTTTACTGCATGAAATCGCGAAATCCACTTGCAAATAGTCGCTGAAGTGGACTGAAACTCCATTACTATGATGAAGAAGAGATTGGACAGGCACACTGGCCTTTCTCCCTGTCTTTACTCTTCTGCCACTGCCCTCTTTGAAATGAAGATTGCGTTCTCGGGGACCATTTCCCCTTCCTCCTTCTCCCTCTTTCTGGACGCACCAAGAGAGGGACATGCGGTCCTCTCTTGGCACCATGAGGCAGACGGGCCTCTCACCATCCGCCTCTATCCTTTAGCGAGTAAGTTAGTACTCTGTCATAGCCCTCCTCTTTCCCATCCCAAGTGCGCTTCTCAAATAAAGAGAGTATTCCTCGTCTAAACTTGCAACACGGCTCTATGTAACTTTGTAAGCGGAGGAACCTGGCCAAGTGACACTGCTGCATTTGTATGAAGCACTCTGCTGACTGTTGTAAGAATGCACCTGTAGCACTTGTCAGTCTAAACTAACCCTGTATAGTGTTACCTGCACCTCTAGATTCGTAATGGTCTGGTAGGTGCCCCTTACCAAAGTGGGTAGAATGTTAAAAGAAAGTTAGCTGGAATGCAACACAAGGTTATTTAAACAATAAAATAGTTTATTAGCTAAAGACATGCAAGAAATACAAAACAGAATACTTATTTCAAAAGAAAAAAAGACAGTCAGTGGTTATATATATATAACAAAGATTCCCCATGCACAGAAAGCTTTCTGGACTCACCCCCAGAGACCACAAAAGACAAAGCCTTCCCTGTATCTCCGAGAGTCAGTGCTGAAATGAAGCTTCTGGCCTTTTTTTATACCATTTTGGTCCCATACATTTCGATAGAGCCATAGAAATCATAAACTGCATCAGTTAATCTAACTGCCCTGTTAATTGTGTTCCATCAGGGCCCAGGAGATGTTCACACATTCCAGGGGCAAAGGGGCACCCTGATGCTCCTTTGCAAAACAATGCAAGATAGCATTCAAATCTCTAAATGACAAAGACAAGAATGTTACAATTTCAGGGTGTTTTTTAAATTTTACATTTAAACCCACTATTTTATTTTTCTCACAACACTGACTAATGGCGACTGGACTAAACCACACCAGTTAACCTCGATATTCCTCTCCCATATAAAGTGGCCTCCTCAGCAAGGTCCCTTTTAAGCTGTGGAGTCCTGTGAGCAGAAATGCTACTTTCTGAGCTGCTGGCATGAAAGTTGCGAGGGGGCGGTTTGACTCCTGCGTAAATTTGTTGGCTCTGGAGCCGCCCTTCCTGAGACGAGACAAAAATGTGTGAGCCGGGGGCTAAAAAAATTATGAGCTAGCTAACACTCACTCAGTTTAAATGGAACACGGCTCCTCAGCCAATCCACTTGACTCCCTTTCTGGCCCCTTTGTAAAAAATGGGAATTTCATTCTAGCAGCGAGCATTCTGGGACAAGGAAAGCCTCGGCCCCCTTAAGACCTCCCCCACAAAGTGCCCCATCTCTAGTAGCCCAAGAGACTCACCTGCAGCATGAAGGTTCCAAGGTGGCAGACTGGATCCAGATGTGTCCTGTGCATTAGAGCTGGAGGGGGGAAAATCTCGAAAGCAGCAAAGTCACCGCCTTTGGGGGGGGGAGGAGAGCAGCTAAGAAAGGAGACCACACCCCTTCCAGGGAAAGGGCCTTTTTGCATCAGTTGGTCCCACCTTAATGCTGCAGAGCCGACTCCTGTTTCTTTGCAGAAAGGGCCTCCCCAGAAAGCTCTGTAACCTCCTATGGCAGTCGATCAGAAGAGCCCTGCCCTGTTTATCTCATTACCTTTCAGAATCAAAGTGCACTGAAAGTGGATTGAAAGTAAGTTATTTAGTGTGTGTGAAAGCACCCACGGGAGAGGGGATTGACATCGAGTCGATCAGAAGAGCCCTGCCTTTCAGGTATTCCATCCAGATGCATCAACGGAAGGAAGGGGGGTCGCACCCAGCCTGGATTGCGCATTCTACCTTTCTCATGGCTTTTGCAACGCCTTTGCATTTATGCAGCACTTTCTGCATCCTCTCCCCCCCTACCCTTACCACCTACATACCTCCGGTCAGTTTTTTCATACCCTCCATGCATCTGATGAAGAGAGCTGTGTTTCTCGAAAGCAGACTAAGACGGCTAAACTCCTCTGGATCTGTTTCACACAGCGGCCAGCCAGTTGTCCTGGAGGGCCGACAAACAGGGCACAAAAGCCAAGGGCCTTCCCTTGATGTTGCCTCCTAGCCCTGTGTTTCAGAGGTTGACTGCCTCTGGATGTGGAGGTTCCCATTAGTCCACAGGCCGATGCATCCTGGGTGAATTACATCCAGGAGGAATAATAGAAAACGGTCTGAGTTTGGAAGTTTCTGGGGAAATCCTGGGCTTTGAGGGGAGATACAAAATCCACCCCCCCCAAAAAAAAAAACACCCTTCACTTTTCAGCAGTATCTCAGTCGAGGACATTGCTTGACCATTGGTGAGAGAATCCGGAAGCTCATGAGATAAAAAGATTTTGACGGTCACTGATTGCTTGGCCAAGTCCATGGGTTTAAAAGTATTTTAAGGGGTGTGTGACGGCAACTCGTGCCAAAAAGCTTTCTCCAACCTGTTCCTCTGTCCTTCCCTATAAAAGCACAGTATGTACCCACTCACTGCAGGTCTGTGCAGGCAGAGAGCTAGGCGTGTGTGATGGATTCTCTTACCCCAGAGGGAGAGATCGGTGCCATTTCCCCCTTTCCTGGGTATGAGTGCAGGGGAAAAAGAATAACACAGTTCCTCTCAATTGCTGGGGCATGAATCACAGGCAGGATTGGGCAGGCTCTTCAGCTGGTGTTCACCTCAGTCATCCAGGAAGGAATAGCTAATGGTTTTGAGCAGAACATACAAAAGAGGAACCGATTCGGAAGGTTTTGCCAATTCTGATTCTCCAAGGCCGGGTTGTTGCTTTTTTTTGGGGGGGGGGGAGAATCCGAGAATCATAGAGTTGGAAAGGGGCACACAGGCCATCTAGTCCAACCCCCTGCTCAGTGCAGGATCAGCCTAAAGCATCAAGTGTTTCTGTTGGAGGGAGCGATTCACCATACCTGGACATTGCCATCTCTCTAAGTGTGTCTAGGTGTTCTCTCCTTGAATGGGATGTTTCTCTTTGTCTTAACCTGGGAGCTGCCCTCTAACCCCTCCTCTCTCTTTCTCCTCTCACTTTTTCACATGGCCTTCCTTGGAGAAGCATGTCTCTGACATAGAATCATACAGTTGGAAGGGGCCATATAGACCATCTATACCCCCTGCCCAATGCAGGACCAGCCTAAAGCATCTCTGACAAATATTTGTCCAGCCTCTTCTTGACAGCTATCAGTGGAGGGGAGCTCACCACCTCCCTAGGCAGCTGGTTCCACCTTTGAACCACTCCGACCGTGAAGTTTTTCCTAAGATCCAGCCAATACATTTCTGCATGTAACTTAAACCCCTTTGCTTCAGGTCCTATCCTCTGCTGCCAACGGGAACAGCTCCTTGCCCCTCCTCCAAACGGCAGTACCCTCCACACCGCATGCCGCTTTCTTCGATCATCGGGTTTTACTACTTTTTCTACTTTGTGAGCCACTGGGCATTAAAGTTGTGAGCAAGTGATTTGGCCACTTAAGAACATAAGAACATAAGAGACGCCAATGTTGGATCAGGCCAAAGGCCCATCCAGTCCAACACTCCAGTCCAACACCAAATTATGAGCTAGCTAACACTCACTCAGTTTAAATGGAACACGGCTCCTCAGCCAATCCACTTGACTCCCTTTATGGCCCCTTTGAAATGAAGATTACATTCTCGGGGACCATTTCTCCTTCCTCCTTCTCCCTCTTTCTGGACTTACCAAGAGAGGGACATGCGGTCCTCTCTTGGCACCATGAGGCAGACGGGCAGACGGGCCTCTCACCATCCGCCTCCATCCTTTAGCTAGTAAGTTAGTACTCTGTCATAGCCCTGCTCTTTCCCATCCCAAGTGTGCTTCTCAAATAAAGAGAGTATTCCTCGTCTAAACTTGCAACACGGCTCTATGTAACTTTGTAAGCGGAGGAACCTGGCCAAGTGACACTGCTGCATTTGTATGAAGCACTCTGCTGACTGTTGTAAGAATGCACCTGTAGCACTTGTCAGTCTAAACTAACCCTGTATAGTGTTACCTGCACCTCTAGATTCGTAATGGTCTGGTAGGTGCCCCTTACCAAAGTGGGTAGAATGTTAAAAGAAAGTTAGCTGGAATGCAACACAAGGTTATTTAAACAATAAAATAGTTTATTAGCTAAAGACATGCAAACTTGCAACACGGCTCTGTGTAACTTTGTAAGTTGAGTAACCTGGCCAAGTGACACTGCTGCATTTATTGAAGCACTCTGCTGACTAACGGC